GCAAAATTAATCTAGCCAGGAAAGAGAGCAAAGCACCTTTCAACAGTAATTCAGAATGTTCTGATAATATAGGCTCCTGTGTCACTTAAGATAAGCTTACTGTTTATGTTACATACTCCACTGCTTTTTGCCTTGTCTGGCTCAGCCTGTCATAAAGAGTCAATTTCTCAGTTTAAATTTGAGGAAAAGCTGTCCATTGAGAATCATTCTCAATATCTGCTAGTGCACATTTGGCTCAATCTCCATTCAGCTTGGAAGATGATTTGCTTCTTTCTTATTTTTTGTTCTTAAACCTTTTGTCAAGAAACAGCAGACTTTGAAGAAAACCCTCAAAGTGATTCAATTACATTGCAACCCCAAGGTTTGCTTTGAAGGAAAAAAATGAAACAAAACAAAAGAAATAAGCAATTTCTAAAATATCTAGGAATCATTGCAGTGAAAGCTTTCTTGTTTACTTGGTACATAACCATGGTCTAACACTAAGCTAGTGTTGCAGAGTACTTTCCTTTATTCAAACCAGCTCATATCACCTGTCATTAACTATTAGTGCCTTGTTTTTTTCGTTTTTTGCCACGTGTAACTGAATATTCCACACATGCACGCCCAAGAAATAAACCTGAATCATTTCTTTTTGCCCTGGATAAGTCAAATCAATAACTTCTCAAAGTGTCAACGGAGGGGTGGGAAAAAAGTGCTGCTCTTTACTTTGAAGATCAGTGAACCTTTCCTTTGGCCGTTGTGGTAGCAAGGCTATGCCTATGCTCAGAATATTTTTTGGAACATTGTAATAGTAATCTTTCTGCTGCCTTCCTTTGACTCACTTTTTTAGGAATGTTTTTAGGAATGAGGTTGGACTCTTATAAGTATTCCTGGACTCTTATAAGATGTCCTGGCTTTCCAATGACATCCCAGGCCACCATAAACTGGGCCCATTTTGACACCTTAGGTGGCATTAAGTTGAATTAGTTCACTGTGGGTGTCGACTCCGTCAGTGCTGCATCTGGTCACCACTCTTGTTTGTGGTGTTCATGGACAGGATATCAAGGCGCAGCCGAGGATGTGAGGGTGTCCGGTTGGGGGGAATAAAGGTGGCATCTCAGCTATTTGCAGATGATATTGTCCTTTTGGAATCATCTGACTGTGACCTTTGGTGTGCACTTGAGCGATTCGCTGCCGAGTGTGAAGTGGCTGGGATGAGAATCAGCAACTCCAAGACTCAGGTCATTGTTCTCTCCCGGAAAAGAGTGGATTGCTCTTTCCAGGTGAGAGGGGAACAGCTGCCCTGAGTGGAGGGGTTTAGGTATCTCGGGATCTTGTTCACGAGTGATGGAAGAGGGGAGCTTGAGATCGGGGCAGCATCAGCTGCTTTTCTTTTTTTGATGGTGAAGCGGGAGCTGAGTTTGAAGACAAAGCTCTCAGTTTACCGGTTGATCTGCGTCCCTGTCCTCACCTACTGTATGATCACGAACTGTGGGTAATGACCGAAAGAACAAGATCACGGATACAAGTGGCAGAAATGCCGTTTCTCCGCAGGGCCGCTGGGCTGACTCTCCGTGACGGTGAGGAGTTTGGCAATCCGGGAGAGCCTCAGAGTAGAACCACTGCTCCTCCAGATCAAGAGGAGCCAGTTGAGGCGGTTTAGGCGGCTTCAACTGGAGCTGTTCCGGGCACGTCCCACTGGGCGGAGACCCCGTGGCAGACCCAGGACACGCTGGAGGGATTATATTGGCTGGCTTGGGAGCACCTAGGGATCCCCCAGGAGGAGCTGGAATCTGTTGCTGGGGACAGGGAAGTCTGGGCTGATCTACTCGGCTTGCTGCAACCGCGAACCTCACCAGGAAAAGCGGACTGAAGATGGATGGATGGATGGTTGCAGTTCCAAGAAGGGGGCACATCTGGCCCCAGGTGGAGTTCACCTGTCATAAAACCACGTACAAGGCTATAGAGTGAACCAGCAATAAGGAATATGACACCTAGAACATACCCACTCCACTACAGGTGATGATGTCACAATCAGGCACCTTCCATGACAGTACAGTTGCATTTTGCAAGATTCTCTGAATCCCTGGCAACTTAACATCATATTGTTATGATGGGGTTTTGTGAAAATGGTGAAAATCAGGATTTGACCTAGTGGCTTTGTCAATAAGTGAAATCATTATTCATAACCCCCAATTTGCAAGTATTTTCTAGCAATACACCCAAGTGAATGGTATAATTAGAGGCACGTAAATTTGTTCTCTGGCACAGCTTTGTTGAGAGTAGTAATAATTCAGATACTGTACATATGGTTAAGCAGGCATTTCTTACAGTGACACAAGACACCAACTACACTACACACAACAACACATACAACACACAAGTTACTGTATGTACAGTATTTACAAACCAGGTGTTTCAGAGGCCTAACATTCTGGGCACCCAGAAAACCCCACTGCTACTAAGCATTACAAAATGATCTGGGGTTTATTTAGACACTTCTATATCCTCTTTATTCAGTGTAGGTAAGTAATAAAAAAAACACTCATAATACTTTGGTATATAGCAGAAGTGTGGAATTTAAATTTAGGAAAGTTATGCTTAAGCTCTATATACAGTAATATGACTTTATCTAGAGCAACCTAGTGTTAGGCTAAATCTCTTCAGTCTAGAACTGAGGAAATTGAGAGCAGATTTGATGTAAGTATACAAAATCCTAAGGGGTATTTGATGGGTTCAACCCAGGGGGACCTTTTCACTCTCAGTAGTAAAACAAGAACACGTGGTAACAATTGGAAGCAAAATAAGTATTTATTTAGAACAGAGAAAAAGTAACATGTCTTTGCATGTAGAGCTGTGATATCTAGAACAGGCTTCATAGACAGTTTGTTGAGGGCTAAACTCTTGGCACCTACAGTACATGAAATTTTAGGTTTACTTAGATGCTAAACTACCCAATGAGCAAAACAGGTTGAATGGCTCCACTGTTGAATGGCTCATTTGCAGATCTTTTTTTCATGCTGTATGTTATGTCTTCTCGGTTTTTCTTTCATATTAATTATCTGTTAGTTCTTTGGATTGAATGCGTGAAGTAGGTTGTCTACAGTAAAAAAAACATAGTATTAATTGCCACTTCAAAGTGTCATGGCTTTAGAGCAACAAAATGTGAATAAAAGCTGTGCAAAGGTCAGAATACCTTTCCTAGACACTGTGTGTTTAAAATAATATGCCATAGTTTTTCTTGCTCGGTTTCCAAAACATTGCTGTCTGGACTTACAAGTAGTATATCAAGCTTCAGTGAAGAGTAAAATGTTTTTCTGTGCCCATCTTAGTTTGTCAAGACATCAAGACAGTATTTTTATGTTTAATAAGGTTTCAGAAGAACAAGAGACTACAAATAGGAGGAGACCTAGGTCATTTGGCTTTTAGTTGCTAATTGATCTGATGGTCTCATTCAGCCTTTTCTTAGGCTCATCGAATTAGTTTGGTTTCCCATTAAGTTAAATAAGTGCTCTTCACCTCGTGGGGCTGTCCATTCATTGTGATTGCTGTATTACGTACTGAGACTGGACATCTTAAAATTGATTTCAGAGATAAAAATGGGTTTTAAGGAGCTGTTTAAGGAAATGTTGGTTAAGCAATTGAAGAGATCTATGTGACAAATTATTTTGTTGGCTGTCTGTAGAGGTTTGGTTTGTTAGAACAGTTATCGTTTTGCAAGTAGTTAAAGCCTTCTCTGTGTCCTACTCTGTTTCATCCTCAATTGGTTTATTTTGTCTGGATGTTTTTGTTTGGAATTTGATTCAAATGTAATTCTTGTTTATATACTTCTATTGAGAATGTCAGGGGTCACATCTTTTCACATGGCGACATCTCAGTTCTTGAACCGCAGTGTGGAAAGACAGGTGGACAGTTGAACATCACTGAGTAGGTAATGTCACCTATTGTAGAAGAAAAATTACAGAGAGTGCAAGAGGAAAGCAAATAACAGATGAGAAGGATAGCTTTCTTGTATTCCTGTTACCTATTAGATAAGGCAGGTGCTGGTTCTGTAGTTTCTTGGTGGAGCATTGGATAGGAAGTGTCGTCAGTAGGTGGCGATGTTGTGATACTGTTGGTGACTGGCTCTTAGAAGCAGATCAGATCCAGAGAATCTGTGAGTCTGCAAATAACCACAACAGATTATCTTTTTAGTGATTAATAGAGATTTATAGATTTGTTTTCTGAGGCTAGTTCAGCTGAAGAAACAGAAAATGTCATGATGTGCCAAAGGTCTGTCACACTCTAAAGCTTCCTGCTAACTTGCCCTTCTGTGTTGGCGCTGTCTCTCCCTCCTCCCCCACAGCACTCCTTTCCATTTCTTAATGCCATGTCAGGGGATGTAATTCTGGTAGACAGGAGATAGGAATTTCAAAGCTCTAGCTTTTTGTGTGCAGAGCAGTGGAGTGATTGTTTTCATTTATTATTTTATTAGATGAGAAAAGCAGAAATTGAATTCTTACTGCCTCAGAAAAACCATCAGGTTAATCCTCTTAGCGGACCTACTGCATGCAATAAAATATACACAACATAAAAAAAGAGGAACAGAGTAAATAAATGTAAATGTTTGTCCTAATTAGTGCAAGCGTCTAGGTTAGATAGTGTTGAATCAGCAAGCTTTGGAGAAAATTGGTTCAGTGGGGGGGATGGGTGAGTACGACAGTAATGGATTTAAGCAGGGATGCAATAATAACATCTTATGGGGCACATTATTTTCTTTTGAGCTTTCAACAGCACTAAACAAAAATTCAAAAGCCTCTTCATCTTGTGCATTTAAGATATTAGACATGATATAACACTAAAGCTTCCCTTTTCTTGGTTTTCCTTTTAAAATTAAGTCTTAAACTGTGTGAAAAGTGTGTTCACTAGCGTGTTGAAAACTAGTGCCATCTCCTTTTTCTGTGGAATGGGTCTAAGCCAGCAATTTCTTTTAAAGTGCAGAAAGAAAAATAAATCCTCGTGCATCGCCCTTCTTGCTGCAGGTCAGTACACCTGTAAAGATGGAAGGAACAGCCCCTGCCTGGTCTATGTGAGCTTCAACCACAAGATCTACATCTACTGGAGGGTGGAGCTGGAGAGAATGGAGTCCACCAACCTGCTCAAGGTGCTGGAGGAGAGGCCAGAGTTCAGGGACATCTTGGAGAAGCTTGGTGTGGGTGAGTTGCACAGTTCATTTGCAGAGGCTTTTTTAAACTGATTCTTAAACTGGACTGTTTTTATACATGTCTGTTCTGCTTTTCTGTACCGTGTACGTAAAAAAACCAGGGAGCATTATGTCGTTTAGGACAGTGATCCAAAACACACAGCAGGAATGTCTAGTATTAAAGCAGAGGGAATAAACTGGATGAAAAAGCCACCAGAATCCCAAGATTGAAATCTAATAGAGGTGGGCACTTCCTTATAGAATACTTTGGTCATCAAAACTGACCAAAGCAAGAACTCATTATTTTCAGCTACCACTACCAGCTACAGCGTACTGTATAAACA